CACTCTGCTTGCTCTCTTCTGTCATAATGACACTCCGACATGCTGCGTGACCTTTATTATCTTGGGCGTCGTCATCAGGTGTGGACAGTTCCTGTCCAACAAGGTGAATGACTCATTGACTCCTGACACGTAAGTCAAATAATGCAACAATACTGCATTCAAATCAGCGCAATATTAACATGGCACATGCTGATCCTGTAATATGTTGAGTAATCGTCAAACAAAACAGAAACTCAAGTGTTACACTGGGAGGAGAAAGGCCAGAGAAAGCAATTTTGATGCACGGAGGAGGATGCGTTACGTTATGTAGGAGCTTTGCTCCAGGAGGGACCGGCGCACTTCACAAAATAGATTACATCATATGGAAATTGTAGCAATGTTTAAAAACGTCAGCCAGGAAGGTAAAGATTAAGAACAAATGGGTCTTCCACATGGACGATGACCCAAAGTATGCCCTCAAATTAGTTACAAATTGGCTTCAGGACAACAAAGTTAATGTTTTAGAGTGGAATCACAAAGTCCGGACCTCAGTGCTGTCGGAAAACTGTGAGCAGATTTGAAAAGGCATGTGTGAGAAAGGCGGCCTACAAATCTAAGTTACACCAGTTCTGTCAGAAGGGATGGGCTGAAATTCCTGCAAACTATTGTCAGAAGCTTGTGGAAAGAAAACATCTGACCCAAGTTTAAAAGGCAGTTATATCTGATTAGGAGGAAATGTGATTAAACATCTGAATTTGAGAAGTTTAATTAAAATCTCTCTCTCGCTCGCTCGCTCGCTCTTTCTCTCCCTCTCTCTCTCTTGTTTTTAGCCAGCAGAAATATTTTTTGTGTAACTAACTGACCTTAAACTGGGATAGGTTAGTCAGGTTTAACAATCTCTTTTTTTTTTCTCTCATACATTGAATGAAAAGAATCATTCAATGTATGTAAATACTACCTGGTTTCAACTGTTCAAGCAAAAATCTAAAGTCAGAGTGAAAATAAAAGCAAACCGGAGCTGGTGGGGTATGGTCCTTTGGAGTGCTGATATTTGTTAACAAAAAAAAAAAAAAAAAAGCCCATCTGTGTTTGGGAGTTTGAGTGAGAACCTGCGAGATCACATCTTTTGCAACGTGCTGTAAGCGCTCAACAAATGAACAAATGCCTGAGGTGGGCGTACATCCATCCAAAGGGCGCACCAATTACGCCTGAAAAAACACTGGAAAAACAATCCTGAGTCCAGCTAGATTAGACTCCTTTGTTTTCCTAAAGTGCAGCACATCTGATGCATGATCTTCGGCGGCTCCACATCTCCACCGCTCCCTATCGGACATCAAACCCGCCTTTGAAGCATGTCATTTTACATCTCTGTAATTTATCGCCCCGCGACGTCAAACTAGCGGAAACCAAGCCACCTGGAGTCAGTCTCCACACCACTTGAAACAAAATCGTCTCAGAAACGGACTGCCTTCTTCCCACTTCGGTAGGATACCAGTGGCACACACACACACACACACGCATACACACACAGGCATCTACTGTACTGTTGAGGAATCTGAATAGCAGTAACCACAACTCCACTAAGAATAACCTGCCTGTCTCGGTTACACTATCTGATAGGGCGGCTCACATTCAGCTTATAGTACATAGCATAGAGTTGTACGCTGGTTACACCCCCTTATGCATGCGCTGCCGTTCCGCTATGTGTGTGCCGGAGGAGTGGTGACGTTGAGAGCTGGAGGGAGGAAGCGAGAGGCAATATTACACGCCATCTATCTAGGTGGTATGCTGACACAACACATGCACATGCGAGGAGGAGGAAGAGGGAGGGAGGAACGGAGTGCAGCAGAAGAACGGTAGTGGAGTCTACGTACATTTCTTTTGTTCAGACTGAATAAGGACAAGAATGATTTAAGCATACACAGAATTTCATTTCGTTTCATTTTTTGATTCACTTAAGCCATATAAATAGAAGAAAATACATGTTGCACCCTGCATGGGGTAAAGGGAACCAAAAAGAATGCATCTACATACATACAACATGTACAGTAATTTGCATACAATATAAAAAAAAAATAAGTTCATCCTGTTAATGTTATTTGATCTGATCTGTATTCATACATGAGCAACAATAAGTTTAGCACCAAAGGGAATGGAAGGAAGGCAAACTTCATAGCTACATTATGTGGTTGCTATTGTGTGAGATTTGTTCAGATATGCAAGATGTTATAAGTTAGAATGTAATAAATATACAATCCTGACAGAAATTACAATCATTTTGATACCTGTACATATACAGTACAATGTGCTTATATTACATACCTAATCATGTACATATGCGTATTCAGAGTAAATATTCTAAACTTACATTTTGCCTTTAGTGAATGATACATTTCATTGTCAGTGCGCTAGATTATTATTATTCACCATTTTTTTATACTTAAATTTATGAATTATGTTATATGGTGTAGAGATATATTTTCCAATTATACATAAAGTTACACATGGTAATATCATGACAATATAGGTGTTGATGGTAATCATAATTAGACGTCCCGAGGGGGGAAAAACATTATTCGTACAGCAGCAACCTCAACAACTTCCCCAACCTGCCTTCTCGGCAAGAAAGTATGCATGGCTGCCCTGGCATCAAATATTTACCGACCTGGTGAGCTGAGGATGCCCACTGTTTAACTTTGTTTTAACGCCCACTGTTTTATCTTGAAGACTGAACTATGCACACAGCCTTCAGCTTCAACTGGATAAGTGTCAGAGCGCGCTTGATTTAACCCGGCACGGACAGGACGCCCATCAGGTCACATCACAACGCTGTTGAAATGCAGCACAGCTAGAAGACGGAGCGGGACGGATCGCGGCCGCTCGCCATCAATCAGCAGAACTTGATGATGGAAGCATTCATGTATGTACAGAAAGGTTTGCATGTGTTGTTTTTCAAAAATGTATCACTGGTTGACTGGTAGCAAAGACTTTTAAAAAAAGCACAACGCAAAAGTCAATAATATTTAGCTTTAAACTATTTAAAGCACATGTGTCAAACTCAAGGCCTGCAGGCAACATCTGACCCGCGGTAGCTATAATGTTTTAATAGTTTGTTGATAACTAATTTTATTTAAGTTTTAAAAATCGTTAACAAGTATTTGTATCTATATATTTTGAGGACTTTCATGAAAGTCCGTTTGACACCAATGGTTTTAACTTTAAAGCCTTTTTCAATCAGATACAAGAGATTTTTCTATACATGTTTTTCTCCCAGTTTTTTTTTTTTTTTCCCAATGCAGAGAAAGTATTCCTCCCTCTCCCTCACCTGGTGCTGCAAGCTGACAGCCAATTGTGTATCACATCCAAACCACAAAACACAAGTGTGATCATTTGAAAAATTTCCAGTAGCTAAAATGACATACGATCAGGCTACAGGCTGCTTAGAGTGGTGCTACCCCCCCTCCCTCACCTGTTGCTGCAAGCTGTCAGTCAGCTGCTTATAGTGTCCAAAAGACAAAGGTGGTCTTTTGAAAGTTTTCCAGTAGTAAATACCACATAAGATTCGACCACTGAAAAGTTTAGAGTAGCTCATTTGGGTTTTAAATTTGATCTCAAACACTACGAAACTGTGGTATTTATACTCAAGGTTATCATACAGTAAGAATTTTTTGCCTGCATGAGATATGTCAATAATAGTTTTATATCTGTTATTTCCACAGACTGGTGGTATTCTTGTTTAAGGTTATCAAACACATAGAAGCATAAACAGGCAGGTGCCAGATCAGAGCTGTTGGTTTTCCTGAATCCTCCCATATTCAGGGAAATATTCCGGGTGTATTCTGGGAAATAGTAGCAAGTTCAGTAGCAAACAACACCGCGAGACTACAATGTTCTCATTTTATGATGCACTTCTTCACCTCTATCATAACAGGAATAATCCAACACTCCTCCAGCAAACAGATTATGTTGTAAAAAAAAAAAATAAAATAAGAGGACCTTCAAAGTCACCCTTTCACCCTGCAACTTCCTGTTCTTGTTCCCCGTCCACCCGCGTCTTCCTCGCCGTCCCTCTCGCTCGCACAGAGCATGCTCTGTCCTTCCTCTCCCAAAGTGACGGACTGGGCCACTTGGCAGGAAGACAGATGGAGTCGTCCTACTCTGCAGCACCTGCCTGGCCCACATTACCCAGCTCATCTCTGGCCTCAGCAAATCAGAGGCGGGATCAGGCACAGCTGCGTAAAACAACCGGCTTCACGGCCTATCGCAGCAGCCAAATACAAAACAGCACTTCTGCTGAGACTACAGGAGAGCCCCGCGAGCGCTGCGCTCCGCCGCAGAGGCCCGAGCGGCACTGGGACACACAGGAATGTTGCAAATACGGTGGCCCTGAGCTGAGCTACAGACCAAATATGTGACAAAATACGGCAACATTAGAGAAAACACAGCGAAAATAAAAGATATTACTGGCATAACAAGCCCTGGTGTAACACATGTTATTGCAAATATTGACCAGCTTTGTTATTTGTCTGGTTGACACCTCTGTAGTTTTGTTGTTGTTGTTGTTGTTTATTTGTATTGTTTTGGGAATTTGTTCTAGGTATAAACATTCAAACAATGTTTTGGAAATGAAAATAACAGCATCTCGTAAAACACAAGGTGAGGACATTTCACAAAAATCCACTCAATTAAATGGATTATAAGAAAAAACTTTATGCACAATCGCGTTGCAGGGTAAACAAATTAAAAAGCTGCAAATATTTTTTTGAACATCTAAAATATATGCCATAACCCAATCATGAAACACGCATTTGTCGAATCATAAAAGTTGCCCTTGCATTTATAAAATTATTTTTAAAAATTATATAAGTATGTGAAGAAAAAAAAGTTTCTGGTTTATAAATGCAGCATTTTTTTTTTGTATTCAATTTTGTGTGTGTTTTCAGGGTTTTGGGCGTTGTGTATGTGTGCATTTTCTGTTTTGTTTGTTCCTATTCTATTTTTTTTTGTTTGCTTTGTTTCTAAAATGGATAGAGATGCACCAATCAAATGACCACATCTTGTTTTCCCTTCTTTATTTGCTCTTTTCTGAAAAAATCTATTTTAACATCTTTATTGCAAAAATACACAGAACACTGACTACTTTTAGTCAATATATACATCAACCAACAGCATTTGGTATGATTCACTTTTCTAAGTTTAATAAAATCTGATAAAGGTAATAGGGATGTGCTTAAGTGTATAAAAGGATATTATCCTGTTACTCATTCATTTTCTATTGGAATTACAATTACTAGCTCCATAAAAAAAAAAACATCCAGCACATTTTTTCTCTCTCTTTTTTTTGAGTGTTTTGGTCCTTAGATAAAAATTCAGAAAATCAGAAATCTGTATTAGTCAGAAGACCCCGGGTGATGCATCTCTACTGATTCCACAAACACTGCAAACATCCAGACTACAGAGCAGCTCCCATAATCTGGGAGCTGAACGGCATCTGAAATCTAAAGCGTATCCCTCAAACAAAAAGGACAACTAAATCTGGAGAACAAAGAGCTTCTGATCGAGGATGGAGTTTCAAATCCAACTTCCTGTTCAAGGTGAGAAGAGAGATGCAGCGTTCTTAAAATACACAACCTGCTCAGTGTAAAGCTGCTGTATTCTCATATGCGTCAATCCGAACGCTGAAGGTCAGATGCGTCTGAGCTGGTAGCTGACAAGGATGGCAACGGCTTGATATGGGATTGCGCATGACTTACAAATCCATCCCAAAGCAGAATTTAAAAACTTCCACACGTCCTGCAGAGGCAGGACAGCCTGAGGAGTGGGAGAAGAAATGCTGCCCTCTATCAGCGGCATTCATTCCTCCCCACGCAGGAGCAGAAACACACAATCCAACCCGAGACGGGGGTCGGGGAGAGCAGCACGCGCATGTGTTGATCTTGTCCTCGGAAGTCCTTTTCCCCCAGTCTTCCTTTTCCGTCAGAGACAGAGGAAGCACAATGGTCAGACTGTGCTGAAAGGTTGTGCCGGCAGCCCGGCTGTGTATGGAGGTTCTGTTGGGGCCGGCGGCGGCTCTGTTGCATACATATGGAAAAGGATGGAAGTTAAGACAGAAGGGTCGCAGAGGGGTTGTGAGTGTGACCACAGAGGTCTGCACAGGCGCCTTCCTAACTCATACATTCACTGACATGTGAAATCAGGACTCTGATCCGTTCATCTGGGGATGGGAGGAAATCACAATCCTAATACAACCGAAGCAGTGTTTTCAAAGCTTAACTAACCTCCTTGGGCTCTGATGCAAACTGGGTCTATTTTCCTAAAAAAAAGAAAAAAGAAAAGAAAAAAAAAAGCATCCACCTTTCTTTAACTCAGAAAACCACTCAAAACCGGTTCCCATGGCAAAGCGGAGAACCTAACCTGCAACAGTGGGAAGTGAATACACACAAGGAAGTAGACACACATGCAGGAGCTCAATGGTTGCAGCTTTTTGCTCACACATCATGCTGTAAATGTCAGAAGACTGCCGCCTCACTATCCTTCAACATTTTACTGCTTCACAGAGAGTCAGCATCAGAAAACACCTTGATATCAGGAGAATCTGCTCCAGCTGCATAGAAAGATTGCACAAAAAAAAAAAAAAAACTGTGCACGATGCCAATATTTAACAGCTCATCTGGACGAGACCAACTGGACGGTTAGAAATTTTCGAATAATGCAGCAGAACTAGTTCTCAGACATTGGCTAATTACTGGTATGACAATGTATCAAAGGTTTCAAAAGGCTTCTGTCACGCCCTTCTTGAGGTTTTAAATCTTCTGGCTGAATAGAGAATAGCTGCTCCTACTGTGCACAGCCAGTCTGCTAGCTAAAGGAAAGTTTTTGCACGTTTTGTCGATATTTTAACATCCTATACAAGCAGCTGGTGCAGTTAGCGCAGCTAGCATCACTAATTCAGTGTATATGCAGGTCTGTACTTTGACTCTGAGATTCCGAAAAGCTTGCCAAGATTTCAAAACACAGCATATTTAATGACAGACAGAGGTTGAAAGCTCAAACTGCTGCTATAGTTTCAGCTTTGTTGTTATGTATTTAAAGTTGTCCACAAAGACGTTCAAAGTTTCCTATGAAACAGATTCATACAACTCTTTTACTTCATTTACAAGCACGTCGCCATTACTGAAAATAAGTCATATTTAGGTCTGCGTCAGTAACAACTTTCGCACTGAGGAGGGGTGTTGTTGTTGTTGGTGGTGGCACTTCAGTGTGTCAGAATAAGGCAGTATTTTTGAGTTCCTCACCTGCCGCTCAACAGTCAAGGTCGGTGAAACTGAGAATCTGCAGATTCCAGCCAATGGCCACTTGTTCTGTGCATCTTTGCAATCGTTCATAATGAGATACAAGAGAAATGGCCAAAATCACCAAAGTTTTCTCCAGCTCAGTTTTTCGCACCCAATTTTTGCTGTGCACTACACATCAGCTAGCTGAAAGAAGATGACTACACTTTCACTTGCTTACAAGTATGAAAAATTTGTCTGTTTCAAAAAACAAGGATGATCATGGCCTGGATACTAAAGAATCTCACCCGTCACTTTTATTAAGTTAACACTGTTTGCACATATTGTTCCCTTATCTTTATTTCCTTTCATCTAAAGTTTATATATTTACATTTTATGTATGTACAATGTGAGAAATGAAGTCAAATTCCTTGTCTCTGCTCACAATCTCAGCCAACAAAACAGATTCTGATTACTTCCAAAAATAATCACATTGTGCTGTTAGAAGAAGTTTGAGTAGTTGCTGTTTTTTATGTTCTAGATAAAAGCAATTTAATCCTGCAAATAATTTTTTTGCAGTTATCATAAGAATCTAATAATTGTGCAAGCCAGCTTACAATGTATCCTGCTTGATATTGAAGTGACTGTCTGGTTCTGAAAATGTCTTAATCACAAAATAATATCCATAGAAGCATCTTTTATAGTTTCACCTTTGTGGCGTATAAGAACTCAGACTGTAATCTTTTTATTTTTGTCACATCATAAATGTGCACTGAAATCTTACACACATAGAAAACATTGTCCGTTTTTTTTTTTCACGATTTAAAGCCCTAACAACACTTTCTGCGGATGTCATTTTCCTCTAAGGAAGAAAGCTTGATTTGAATAGTGTAGGTGGCATCTTCTCTTCAGCGAGCGCCGTGATATTGTGTGATGGGTTTGGCATGTCGATTTGATTTTTCACTTGCCAGGAAACTGGTCTTCGAGAGCTCTCTGGAAGAGGAGCTGCTTCTGCCTGTATACCCTTAGCTGCGTGCTGATGCTCATTTAAAGGTCGTTTTTTTTTTCTTTCTTTCTTTTTTACTGAGTCTGATGCAAACTTTGCTTTACAAGCATGGACAAGTCTAGATTCTGCACAATTTACAGAGTGCATCAATGATCTTCTTTTTCACTGTTGCCTAGCCGGCTCTGTCTTACTTGTCACTTGTAGCTGCTCCATCTTTCCAATAGCACTTTGTTGCCGATCAGCTGAGAATGCAGCATTACTTTTTATCATCATGTAATACCAAGTGTTACAAGTCGCAATATGACGTGCAAAAACAGTTTGCAAATAGTTGTCTTTCCTTGTAGCACCCAAAAGCCATCATTTCTCAATCTTTTAAGTGCAGCTTTGGGCTCTACTATTAAGTTTGTTTACTTCTGCTGGGAACAAAATGCAGGGGTTCTCGAATCCTGAATAAAATTCCACGCAAATTGTAAATTCAGTCGCAGTCTAAAGGTCTGAGAGGCTCAGAGAAAAATGAGCGACAAAATCCAAATAGCAATAAGAAAATCAAGCTTCAGACATCTGTTTGTTTACGATTGAAAATATTTGTTTTCATGCCTTTTTTTGTCTTTAAATGGCATGTTAGAAAATATTTAGCAACTACTGTGGAACTTTTGTGTTTTTCAGGGTTACTTGTGGACTTGCACAATATATTGCATCACAATATCAATGTGCATGCTCTCAATCGCAATGGAATGCTTGGATAGAATAATGGCAACGTTGTTGTATTTCAAGGTAGATGCCTTAATGCGTTCCATGAAAAATAATTAATCCGACCAGTAGAATGCATGCTTGTACAACTACACCTCAATTATTTAATTTCCTTAGATCATGCAGCATGAGTTACTGTATTTTGCTCTAATTTTCAAAACTGTGCAACACGCAACATTACACCTCCAGCATGTGTTGTGCACTGCCAGTTGGCTGGCTGAAAGGAAGTTTTCTACACCCTTTCCTTACTTACATGAAAGACAAATTTGGCTGTTTGTAAATATTTGTGGTCACAAAAAACAGGGATAGTCACCCTCCTACTAAATTTAATACCTATCTATTCTATATTTCAGACTCTGGTCTATCCCATTGCACTACTATGCAATCAATCTGTGATGCAAATTAGCCTTTAATAAACTTTCACAAGAGGAATTTCTTGAGGAATCTGTTCCATCTTTGGAGCCAATGTCAATTCATTCTGAAAAGACAGGAGAAACTTTTAAAGACTCAAAAATCCCAAATCAAGCCGTCTATATGACCAGCTGTGGGTCGACAGCGTTCCCTCGGAGAATTTAAGTCTCAGCTCCGTCTCAAACCTGATTGGCTCCTTTAGATGCTTCACCTGTTCAAAAACCATCAGGGGTCTTAAGTTGTACCAGCGAAGCAGTTTTATATGGTGATGATACGGCACAGGCACAGGGGAGGGGGTGTTCTGCCAGTGTGAGAAATGCCACCTGCTGCGCGCCTCAGCTGCCCACCCTCTCAGAACGCCACGCCCTCGTCGGCCCGCTGTGACAACCAGCTTCACTGAAAGCCTGGAAGTGCTCAGCTTTATCTCCAAAATGAAGCAGTTGACATTTCTGTCTCTGCTCTGTCATTTCTGCGTGACTTCTCTGTTCCTATGCTGAACACGGACAAAAAACCCAGCGACCAAGGGGGTGGGAGGGGGGTCGCTGAAGACAAAGCAGAGACCTTGCATCTTTGAATTTTATTTTGTCTCCAGTAAAATAACTTGAGCACAGACTCATAATCCTGATTTATATCTCATTAAATCACATCCACCAAATCTAAGGACGCCAGCAATTCATAAAAGCCTGATTAGCGGCTATCCCTGGAACATCTGCTCACATCAGTGTCTAAATGGGATGAGAGCAGCCCCACGTTTCCCTTTCTGTATCTTGATAGACAACTATGGATGGGCCAGCATGAGATTTTCAAAGTGTGGAAATCTTCAGAAAAACACAACAACTTCACAGTTTTCACAGACATTTGGAACAAAACTGTATTACATGATCGAGCTGCACTTACTTAAAACAGAAAAGCAACTGTTTCTTGCGCAGAAAGCTGACTTTGTACACCCACATGCATACACCTATCACACTCTGACCAAGAAAAAGACTTTCATCGTGCCATTACATGGAGCTAATATAATCTTTTATTCCACAGACTCTGCCCCGGACTGCTTTTTACAACGACCTGCTATGAAACATGTTTAAATTAATGATAACTTTTGTGACATTTGTGTGTTACTTTTATGAAACTATCCCATTGTTTCTTTGTATCCTATGTGCTGCACTTTAGGATACTATGGAGTTGTTGTAAAGTTGCTCGAAACCAGAATTTTCATATACAGTACAAAAACCTGCATTACTTTTGTCTTCCCACATGGTCTGAAAATAAACCAGGCTAAACTTTTAGAGCAGTTAGAATTACCAAACATAACTCTAGTAGCTGAATTCAACAATAAGGAGAGATCTATTAAAACTTTCCTTAAATTCAGAAGTTTGCAGACATTATCCTTGTATTTGGAAGAAGTTTGTCGAGATTTTTGCCAATTCCTCCTGATAGAACTGGGGTAACTGAGTCAGGTTTGTAGGTCGCCTTGCTCACACTCACCTTTATAGTTCTTCTCATGAATTTTCTATGTGATTAAGACTGGACTTTGTAATGGCCACTAAAAAACACTGACTTTGTTGTCCTGAGGCTATTTTGTAACTAATTAGGTGGTAAAAAAAAAAAAAAAAAAGACCTTTCTCTAGTTAAGCTTTAACTTCCTGGCTGATGTCTTTATATGTTGCTTCAATGCTTCAACATAACGTTATTTCCTCATGATGCCATCCATTTTGTAAAGTGTACAAGTCCCACTTACACCAGAAAACACTCAGATGGCATTATACTGTCACTCACATGCTTCACCATTCAAAAAATGCTCTCAGTCTGGCAACCTTCACCGTTTTTCTCCAAATCAATATGGCAAAATTCACCCTATGTCTCCAAAAATGAACACCTTCATCTCTCTATCTGGCTTTTATGTTCCTTTTGGAATAATGACTTCTTCGTTCCTGAGTAGTCTTTCAGCCCGACCACTTGTCTCACTGTGGATAATTACTTTTTTTTTTATTAGCTTCAGTCAGTTAAAACTGATAAAAAACTTTTTTTTCTATTCACATGTAATTTTCACAACTTTCTTTTGCTTTTCACATATTTCACAGGAAAACACACTCGTCTCTGAGACACAGAATCTGTCCCGTTTCCTGAAAGCGTAATGGCTGGACCCATAGAGCAAACACACTTCGTTCATCCACGCTTCTCTTCCTGATAACTTGGGATGATGTCTTGATTTTTACATCATGTCACACAAGGAAGCTGTGTGTTTGAGGTGTTGCCTCCATTTAACTTAAATGTTAGGAAATAACCTATCAGAATAAAGTCATGATATCATCATCAGAGCTTTTCCCAAATTCTTTGAAGGCTTAATAGACTTAGTTTACATAAATTTGTCAATGTGAGGATAGTGGCAAAATGTTTTTAATCAATTATCTCTCTTATGAATTTATTGTTTAGCAAATGGAAATTCTTCTGATGATTCTAACAGACCTAAAATGAAGAACATTTTTTATTTTATTTAATGCCAGACAGGGAGAAACTAAAGTCGACGCGTTTTCGTACCGTGAGATACCTGGTTTCAACTACAGATCTTCTTTCAGTAAGCTGACGAGCAGTGTGCGGGAACAGGTAGGGGAGGGGCAGCACTGCATTACTTAATGCACCACGCAGCCAAAGGAGACTCTGGCCAATCCGGCACCTTCTTTTACATCTCAATAAAAGAACATTAAATGGTAGGAAGAGGGAAACAGAACCTTTTTTTTTTTTTTTTTTTTAATTTTTTTAGCCCATAGCAAACCTTGACACAAGCAACCGGCCCATGTGTAGCCAAAATTAACAATTCTCTTTTCTTCTCCTCAAACAGCTGGCCTCCACAAGCCAATAAGAGTAAATCATCAAGGACAGATTTTCTCGCAGGCTGTTTGAGGGAAAATGGCTGAAGTAGCTCTGCTCCAGGAGGCTTTATGACTCCCATCCCTAATCAATGAGGGGTTTACTTTGTGTCCATGACAGGCTCTATCCACATTAATATAACCACTCAGAGATTAAATAAGAAGACCCACGGCACGTATGGCTGAAGCTGTCAGTCATCGCGTGATTTCCCCTCAGGTGGAAACTTTCCGCTTTCATTTGTTGTATATTTCTTTAGCTTAGTCACTGGCTAAGTCATCATCTCAGAGGGATCCTCCTCATCCCAGCCACACCATCCACAACTTCCTCACCACCACATTATGCTGTCCACAGTTGCTTTGCTGATTATTAAATCCTGCTTTTAATTTTAATTTTAATTTAGTGCCATAGTAACGAATTAGTCATGCAACAGGTTGTACAGCGAGAAGAAGAAGAAAAAGAAGAAGAAGGAGAAAAAAAAAGCTTCCTGAGAAGTGGATCGCTACAGATACTGCAGTGAAACACGTGGAAGGGTTGGATAAAAATATTAGAGAGATTCCAACTCTCAGGAAGCTTAGACAACAATCTCACAGATCTGATAGGCACACAATGAATTTACAATTCTTTCACATTTGATCCTCGCTGCTCCCTTAAGCTATATGTGCTCTGACACACTAGAAAGCCGGTTTCCACTTCAGGAGAGTGGAGGATAAAAACAAAACAAAAAAAATTAAAAAACTTTCAGGAAAAAGTAAATAATTGCTGTACAAATTGTGTAGCACTTGAAAGAGGCAGATTTTAAATGCAGCACTAAAACTAAATGCTTGGAGCTCATTCGTGACTAATTTATTTTTGGGTGTACACTGACGAAGCGCTACCCTGTTTCCTATGACTTCAATGTTAAGCATATTGAATTGAAGAGCTCTTTAAGCCTGGCGTCTCCAAGCATCTTCAAGCATCCCAGATCTTCCTCCTGCAGCCAGGTGAGCGCTAAGTGTGGCTCAGGATGTCAAAACCGGAGCCCAGACCAGGAGCGCTTCTCTTCCCCCCTACCCCCCGTTCCTCCCACCCGGATCAACCGGGGAGTATCATTGGATTCAAAGTGGATCAACTGATGGCTATCGTGTTTCGCTGTTTAGACTCAGAGTGCAGTCTTTGACAGCCCAAACACACAGATGTGGACGAGGGGCCAACGCCGTGGTGCAATGCAGATGTTTACACCCAGAAAATAATGGGGGGGGGGAATATATATATATATATAAAATGAGCACATAAAAGAAATCATTATTCTCATTCCGCCTCAACTCAAGAGTCAGCAATCAATCTGAAGTTTATCACTTGCCATATGTAAGCTTATAAAGGATGCATCAGACAGGTAATCACAAACATTTCAGCTCATTCAGGCCAGCAGCCATTCTGATCACTCAACAACTGCATCTAGCTGAATACTGATAACTGACTATTGATCAAGCTCACAGCTGGAGCCTTTTATCCATAAGCCGCATATCATTCAGGTCACATCCGGATCAATTTAAGGCTATTCAAAAAAAACAGTTTCTTCTTCCTCTGATTCGCTCCTTGAGAAAGCTGCAATTAAGTAAACAAGAAGAAAATGTAAAAAAAAAAAAAAGAAGAGAAAAAAATAGGATTTGTTAATATTGCAACAAACAAACTTTACTTTCCTTTTTTCTAATAATAAAGGCATTCTGTAAATAATTTTAAAATGTTTTGTACCTCGAAAAATATCACAACAATCTTGTATATTTGTCCTGTTACTTACTGAGTTCTGCTGGAACATTTATTTACACAAATGGTGTATTTTGAAACTACAGTTTTAGATCAACGCAATTTGGCAATAATATGCAACATGTTTTAATTGTGCTTTTTATATGCAGTAATTTCTCTGTTATTAGAATTTTACATTGATAAAGCAATGCCTCAGTAATCAAAATGCTCAAGGAATTTAAAGCTAAAAGTTTTTTTTTCTAATATTGCAACTGTTTTGTATCAAATTATTCTATTTTCTCTTAAATGTAAGTCTGAGAAGTTATTGTTTAAATGTTAAAAAATCTCTTATGATTCAGTAACACTTTACTGGTTTCTCTGAATTAATTTGAAAGCACAAAAGCACAAAACAGCGCAAACAGAAGTTACGTTTTATTGATAAATCAGATGTGAAAACCTCCTGATCTCACACCTCAAAACCACATTTTAAAAAAAGGCCCAGTTCCTCACATAATCAGTAAATGTTACCACAAACACATCATCTCCTCAACCAGTCTCATTTGGGGTTGTCTTTTTTTTTAACTACAGTTTTTTTAATAATATAATTTGTTTAGTAATGTAAATACACAATTTTTCCACGTGGTAAATATTACATGTCAAAACCAAAAAGACCAACAATAAAAACAGCAAACAGCAGCTCAAACTACAGCAGGCCTGAATTAAAAAAAAAAAAAAAAAAAAAAATTAGGGTAAAAAATGGGTTTTAAAATTCCTCTCCCCCCCCCCCCCTTTTA